TGAACAGTTGGCAACAATGTAAAATCTAAAATTAGGAGCATCTTAATTGATTAAAATATGGCATATCCAAATGATAAAATTCCATGCATTATTTTATATTTTTTGAAGACCACTGAAGAATATGAAAATATATTCTATGTATTTTAAAAACATGCAGAAATTTACAAAACTATGTAAAGTATTCCTGTCTTCTCCACATTTTTACAATGAGCCTATATTACTTTTTAATCAGGAAAGGTTATCATAAATTTTTGTGTAAAATAATAAAAAATACAATTCAGTTTTAGAAAGAACATGATAGTATGATTTGTGAAAGAAATTCTGCAATAATAAGCTGAATCTGGCATTGTGATTCCAAAAATAGAAGCATAAAATTACTTGGAGTAGGTTTGGTTAATTTTCTACTGGTATAGGGCGTTTACCGCCTGTGTTAAAATTTATAATTTTTAAGGACATTACAAAAAAAAAAAGACTAATGTTTGTGATTCTGAAATGTATATGTGGTGGTTTCATAAAACACTACTTAGTATCATATTTCATATTTTCAGGAATCCATTTAACATAATTATGAATCCCCCAAAATAGTTAATCTTCATGTCAAGCAATAAATGTAGATAGTCATAAATCTGAAATTCTTTCATATATAGCAAAGGCCTGTCTTTTATAAAACTATTGTCTATATTATATATGTTGTTTAGAACTTTTGAGCAGTAATTGTATTCATTGATTTGCTTGATAGGTTTTAAATCCTAATGATTATTTTCCCCCTTCTTTAATTTAGCCTTGTCTGTTTATATAACAGCTTTAAGGATGTTAACAGATTCTCTTTCCTGAAAAATGTCTACCCTCCAAATTATGTTATTTCGATACTCATGATCTATTTGAACTAGAATGATTTCTAATACACTGTCTCTCTCATTTCTAGTATATTTTAAAAATAGTTTGAAGAGTGTAGAATATGGATTTGTCAATAGGCTTGGTTTCTACTAAGAAAATACGTACTCTGCCTTGACTCAATAAATTCATACTTAGTATGGTTCAGCTTCTTCATATTTACTCTTGCCATATTAGAAAACAATTAGCTTACTAAACAAATCTGAGTATTTGGTGGAGAGTGGGGGTGATCTTCTCTGAATCTTTCTCATTTGACTAAGAATTATAGTATATTTGATAACCATGTTTAAAAATGGAGATATCCAAATATTATTGTAAACACCCAATGATTTGTTTTACCTACAATATAAGTATTTTACTTGGTTGGCTTACATAGTAGCTAATAATATTTGTTAATGTTATTTAACTGCTGTGAACCTTTACTGAACAAATATTGAAATTTATTCAAGTCAAAGAAAGAGAATCTCTAATGACTTTTGTTAAAGCTTCTATTTAATAGTTAAGGAGAAAAGTTTGTATGACATACGAGATGCAATTAACAGTAGATTTTACATTTAATAAAAAGAAAGAAGCATGCGTATTTGCTTTATTCATTCCATCATAATTTGCATTAGAGCTGTGGGTGTTTAATGAGCAAATTCCAACTAAAATGCTATATTGATTTTCTAGTGAACTTTGTAATAGTCATCTACCTAGGAAAAGCTCAGTGTTTACAATTAAGTTTTCTATAGTTAAAATGTTTGAGAGTTGCATATTGACCCTTTAAAGGTACTAAATTCCAGAAAGAATCAGGTTTTTCATAACCAAAAAATTTTACATATAACCAGATAAACGTTTGTTTGTATTTGTAATACATTTAGTAATACCTTAATTTTGAAAACTTTTCTCATTATTTCTAAAATGTAGAGCTATATTATGCATATTTTTTTCTGGCATTTTAAAATTTAACCTTAGAATACTCAGAAGATAATCTCCTTTAAATACACATGTACATCTTTGGATTTGAAATAGCTCTAGTAGGGGAAAAAATGTTTTCTCTTAATCACATAGGACCAAATAAGCCCTCTGTGTAAATCATTTACCTTTAAATATAAAGATAACTGCTGAAGCCCGTGATATTGCTAGTCTTACCTCTTTCATCAGGTGCTATTGTATATAAAGTGGAACACAGCTTATTTTAAATGTCACTTTATAAAGATCTCATTACACTGTACAGGAGTGATAGCTTATTATTGGCATTTGAAGTTTAGTGATTAGTATTTTAAGCTTTGACATAGTTCAGGGCAATATAATATACATGTTAATCTGTACTTTGACCACTCTTTATATTCATTTTGTCCATTCTATCTGCCCTACAAATGAGAATTATTTTATAATGTAAAAAATTGTGAACATCTTAGAATATCATGATATTGTATATAAATTATTGAATTGTTATATTTTGCGGTACGTACATAGAATAGGTTTTGGAAAAGGTTTTCTTTTAGTTCCTCTTTATAATTTTTGCACACCAAGGAAACATGCAAACAACAACAACAGAACAGAATCTGTTTTTGCAACAAATGGCCCAAATTGATCAAAATCAGTTTTTTAATGTGGCTAGGAATACAGTTGAATTGTGAGTTTATGGATTGAGGGTGGTGGTGGTAGTGGTGGAATAGAGCTAACCTTTGTTGAAATTTCAGTTTATTCTGTTTTTTTTTTAATTTGGCCAAGGACTTTTTATATAATCTAACATAATTTTCCCTAACAACCACATATACATTCTATCCACCTGAACTGCCACTAAAACAATGTAAGAAATTTAAAAAATCAAGAGTGCCTAACTTTAGTATGTTAACACCTTGGATCTGAATAAAGCCCATATTCTTCCCATTATATCATGGTACTTTCTCTAAGCTGTTATGAAAGTTCTTCCCAGGAGGAGATGGTGTAGAAATAATAGGGACAAATAAAACTCATTATTGTGTACTTCATTCTGGGCAAAAGGTTCTTTCAAATCAGTATGATGAATAGATTTATGGTAGCAGAATAGTACAGCTGTAGACAACCAAATAGGAGTAATAACACTACAAAAAAAAAAAAAACTATAACAATTGTGCTGAGGAACACTGGTGCTTCCAAAATATACGTTCATACGAGAAACAATTTCTTAATTAAACTTATCTCAACTATCAAAAGCATTTAATTTTAAGCATATGGATATGCATAAAAAGTTGTTGCAGTACAGTTGGTCATATACTTTATCAATTCAGCTATTGATGGAAATTTGAGTTCTTTCTAGTTTTTGGTATTATAAAGATGCTATGATTATTCGTGTTCAAGTCTTTGTATGGGCATATGCTTTAATTTTTTTGGGTAGGTATGAGTATAATAACTAAACCATATGCCAGGTATATGGTTAGCTTTTTAAGAATATGCCAGACTGTTTTCCATTGTGGCTGTACCATCTTACATTCCCGCTAGCAGGTTGCATTTTATACTCTAATATGGAAAAAATATACTTGATTTATTCAGTTAGTTTCTTTTCTACCATGTATAATTTAAGTAACTACATTGATAACTCTCTTAATTAACTTTGCATTAATGTATGACAGATCTTACAGGAAACCAGTATTTTATAATCTAAAAAATATGTCAAATATTTTTACTAAATTTAATTTGTGATAAACTGTTATTGCTTGTGATTTGTCAGCATAAATGAAATATAGTTTAGTGATCCAGGTATTTGAGTCCCTGTATGTATAAAATAGAAGTGTTATTTTAAAAGATATACATGATTTCAGGTATGCAAAAGTAGAGGTTATGCTTAAGAAATGACGATTTCATGTAACATCAAAGCCTTCAGTACAGCAATGCGCAAATCTAGAACGTGTCACTTGTATTGTAACATGTATAAATGGCATGACCTGAAGATGTGCAGTGTAAAACCAGCACAGATGTGCCTCTGTGTACTCTTCCCTGATCCCATCTTTTCCTCTCCTTCCCCTATCCTACTGAGGCAACTACTATCCTAAATTTGGTGTTTATTGTTTTCATGCATGTTTTTATATTTTTACTAATTTTGTCTATCCATAAGTAGTATGTAGAATTTTTTTGCTTTACACCTTCTATTTTTGCCAACATTTTTGAGATTTGTCGAAAAACATCTGTTGCTCTAGATCATTCATTTTAATTGCTGGATGGATTCCATTATGAATGTATAACAATTTGTTTGTTCCTGCTCATGTTGATGGACATTTGGGTTATTACTAAATTTTTGCTATACAAATAAAATGCTACAGTAAGCATTTTTATACATGTTTCCTGTACTCAATGTGCAAGAATTTCTCTACGCTACATATCAAAGAGGAAAATTTCTAGGTTGTACCAAAATGTCAGCAGTTCGAATCCACCAGCCGCTCCATGGGAGAAAGATGTGACAGTCTGCTTCCATGAAGATTTATAGCCTTGGAAACCCTATAGGGCAGTTCTACTCTGTTCTGTAGGTTCCTGTCAGTCAGAATTGACTCGACGGCAGTAGGCTTTAGGTTAGACACATCTACAACTTTACTAAATATTGCCAAATTGTTCTTTAGATGGTTATGAAAATATACAGTCCTGTCAGCAGTATATAAGGAGCCTGGGTGGTGCAAGTGGTTTGCAGTTGACTGCTAACCTAAAGGTTGGTGGTTCTAATCCACTCAGCAGCCCCATGGAAGAAAGGCCTGGCAAACTGCTTTTGTAAAAATTACAGTCATAAACCCCTATGGAGAAGTTCTACTCTGTAACACATGGGGTTGCCATGAGTCAGGAACCAACTCAACGGCAGCTAACAACAGTCCTCAGCAATATGTGAGAATTTCCTTTGTCCTACATCTTCACATTTATTATTATTAGACAGCATTTATTATTGTTAGAGATTTTAATTTTTGCTTTTTTATGAGTGTGAAATGGTATCTCAATTTGCAGTAGCTTTTAAAAATATTATTACCTGAAGCTATTAATTGATACTGCCTTTGAAACCAGTTGAAATAAACAAACATTCTGAAAAAATGACAAATGATTTTTGTTTTTTATTTCTCCTTTATTTTCTCTAATTAATTATGGATTATATATTTTTGTAGCTCTGGTTGAAGAAGTATATTGTGCACAGAGGGAACGTGATGAAGCTATTATGGCTAGATTGCGATTAGCCAATGAAGAGAGAGATGAAGCAATTGCACGAGCCAAGCATATGGAAATGTCTATAAAAGCGTATGTACACATTTGAAACTAATATACAGTTTATGTAGATATTAGGAGCATACATAAAATGCAGGTATTATATGTGGTTACATATTCAAAAACGTTACTGATTCTTATATATTACACTAGGAAATTTCAGTCTTTTCTAAAACCTTTAGCATTATACTAGTAGTTTGAATGTCAGGAGTAACCAAACCAAACCCTTCGCTGTCGAGTTGATTCCAACTCGTAACGACCCTACAGGAGAGGGTAGAACTGCCCCATATGGTTTCCAAGGAGCACCTGGATTTGGACTGCCGACCTTTTGGTTAGCAGCCGTAGCTCTTAACCACTACTCCATGAGGGTTTCTGTTAGGAGTAACAGTCACTGAGAAAAATTGTGCATCACTTTCAGTACAGTTACTTTCTTTTCTCTGTTTCTTCATAGTTCGGTTGTTGATGTCCTTACTCTACCTTCTTTTGTGCCTCCTCTTTTCTTCCCTCACCTTTTTATTATCAATTTTTTAAATTTATTTCAACAACCTGGGTACTTTTTCTGCTCTCTGCTTAATAGCGTCATTGCTGTTCTTCACTACTTTTTATTGGTAGTTCTTTTACCTTTGACTCTTAAACTTTAGTGATATATGCAAAGAATGGAACCTAAGAGTCTACGTTTTTAACTGGCAATGCAGGTGATTCTGATATAGGTAAATAATAGACTGAACTTAAAAAACAATTCCCTAGAAATAAGTACTTCTCAAATTTTAATGTGCACATTAATCACCTGGGGACGTTTTATTTTTTCCCATACAAAAATTTATACATACATTGTTATGTGACTAATTGCTCTCCCCATACTGTGACAGCACACTCCTCCTTTCCACCCCTGATTCCCCATGTCCATTCAACCAGCTTCTAACCCTCTCTGACTTCCCATCTCACCTCCGGACAGAAGCTGCCCGTTTAGTCTCTTGTATCTACTTGAGCTAAGAGACACACTCCTCACGAGTATCACTTTATGTCGCACAGTCCAGTCCAATCCCTGTCTGAAGAGTTGGCCTCGGAAATTGTTTTAGTTCTGGGCTGGTAGGGAATCCAGGGGCCATGCTTTCTGGGGTACCTCCAGTCTCAGTCAGACAATTAAGTCTGGTCTTCTTACTAGAATTTGAATTCTGCACCCCACCTTTCTCCTGCTCCATCAGGGACTCTCTGTTGTGTTCCCTGTCAGGGCAGTCATTGGTGGTAGGTAGGCACCATCTAGTCCTTCTGGTCTCAGGCTGATGAAGTCTCTGGTTTATGTGGCCCTTTCTGTCTCTTGGGCTACTACTTTCCTTATGTCTTTGGTGTTCTTTATTCTCCTTTACTCCAGGTGGTTGGGACCAATTGATGCATCTTAGATGGCCACTTGCAAGCTTTTAAGACACCTGGGGACGTTTTAAAAATGCAGATTCTCGTGCAGTAGGTCTGGGGTGGGCCTTGAGATTGTACATTTCTTACAAGCTTTCAGATGATGAAAATGCTGCTAGTCTAGGAACATGCTTTGGGTAAAAAGCTCGTACAGCATCTAAGAATATGTTATCTGTAAAGGTAGAATGTAGTTGTTTAATATTTTATAGTCATCAATCAATATACTTATCGCATATTTGCTCCCTGCCCAGTGTTGTTAGGCTCTGTAGGGGATGAGAGTAAAGTACTAATTAAAACAAGGTTCATTAAGGAGACAAAACTAAATGTCATTAAATAATACTAACAATGGCAGTGTTTGTCACAGTTTCGTAGACTTTCTTTGTTTTTGATGGCCTTGACAATTTTGAGGAGTACTGCTCAGGTATTTTATAGAATGTCTTTCAGTTTGGGTTTGTCTGAAGTTTTTATTATAATTAGACTAGGTTTATGGATTTTGGGGATGAAGACCACAGAGGTGAAGTGCCATTCTTATCACATCATTTCAAGGGTACATGCTGTCAATATGACTTACCACCAGTGATTTTAACCTTGATCGCCGGGCCAAGGTAGCGTTTGCCAGAATTCTCCACTATAAAGTTACTTCTCCCTATCTTCCTATCCACACTCTGCTCTTTGGAGGCAAATCACTTAAGTATAGCCATACTCAAGGATGTGGGATGGGTAGGTGGGAGGGAGTTAAGTTCCAAATCCTGGAGGGGAGAATATCTACATAAATAATTTCTGATTCTTGTGTACAGGAGATTTGTCTCTTTTCCCTCATTTATGTATTCAATCATTTATTTATGTCAGTATGAACTTGTAGATATTTATTTAATACTTGGGATATAATCTAATACTACATTATTTATTTTGTTGCTCAGATTGTTTCAGCTTTGGCTGTTGAGAGCTCTTTCAGGTTGGCGCCTATATCCTTTTGATATGCTTCCATCTTTTTTTTTTATTTTTGAGTACTTTCTTACTTTACAAGATAGCTAGTTCAGGGTCATTTTGTATATTCCCTGTACCATCCCTAGAATCAACCATTTCTCCAAGAATCCTTGAGGAATGATACTAGAAATCAAGATCTGGGTGCTGAGTATGCTCACTGTTGCTGGGGTATGACTACTAGGCCCTCTCAGCAGACAGAACCAGGGAATATATGTATGTATGCTAACTGATTTATATACGAGCCCTGGTGGCACAGCAGTTAAGAGCTCGGCTGCTAACCAAAAGATTGGCAGTTCGCTCCTTGGAAACCATATGGGACAGTTCTACTCTGTCCTATAGAGTCGCTGTGAGTCAGAATTGACTCAGTGGCAACAGGTTTGGTTTGTTTTTGGTTTTTTATCCACTATTATTTGTATATTTATCCATCTGTATCTATATTAAGCTACACATGAGTTCATACTGATGTCTCCACCTCTTGCATATTTGTAATTTCCCTCTCCAACAGTGAGAAGTCTGGCTCCCACCATCCACCATCTATTTGCTTACTTGTTCAACCTCAGTAAACAGTATACAACCTCAGTATAACTTTTTCAAAATCATTGATCTATACCCATATACCATGAAAAACAACTTTACCAACTAAAGTACACTGTTTATGTACAGTTCCTTTAGTTTTTAATCTTACTGTTTCCAATCAAAATACCTTTCCAAAGTTGCTTAGATTGGCTCTTTTTTTCCTCCTGCCTCCTTAAGTGAGGTCATGCCATATATTTATAATACAGTTAGGTTCTTTTGTCACAGTCTGCATTCCATCCTGGGATCTCCTGACCTCCTGGTTGATTTTTTTTTTTTAATTTGCATACATGAAGGTTCACTCTTTATGCTGTAAAGTTCTATTTTTCTTGACAAATGCATATTGTCATGTATCCAGATTAGTTCCACCACTCTAAAAATCCCCTGTTCTTCCTCTAGCTAATTCCCCCTCCGCAAAACCCTGGCAGCTGATGTTGGAGATGGTGGAGAACCAGACAGTGTTTTGTTCCATTGTGTATGTGGTTGCTGTGAATCAAGTCAGACTTGAGGGCAGCTAACAACCACAACACCTTTTCATTAATGAATAGTATTCCATTTTATAGATGTTCCGTGGTTTATTTATCCACTCATCTATATAAAGGTTATCTTGGTTGCCTCCACTTTTTGGTGATTATATATAAAGTTGTTATAAGCATTTGCATGTAGGTTTTTATATGGACATATGTTTTCAAATCAGTTGGTTAAACCTAGTAGTGAAATTGCTGTGTTGTATGTTTAGTCTATGTTAATTTTATAAGAAACTGCCAAACTTTCGAAAGTGCATTCCTACCAGCAGTGATTCAGAGTTCTGTTGCAAAGCATCCCTGCTAGCATTTGGAATTGTTGGAATATTGGAGTTTTTTTTTAATTTTTAACCATTCTCATAGCTGTGTGGAGTCCTTATTGGTATAAACGTTTATTGCATTTGGCTTCTAATCGAAAGATTTGAGGTTCAAGTCCATCCAGAGGTGTCTCAAAAGAAATGCCTGTCAATTAACTTCTGAAAAATCAGCCACTGAAAACCCTGTAGAGCACAGTTCTTCTCTGACACACATGGGACCACCATGAGTCACAATCAACTTGATGGCAACTGGTTGGCTGGTTGGAATAGATGTGTGATGGTATCTCATTATTTTAAGTTGTATTTCCCTAAAGACAAGTGAAAAGGAGCCCTGGTAGCACAGTGGTTAAGCTCTTGGCTGCTAACTGAAAGATCGGTGGTTCAAACCCACCAGCTGCTCCTTGGGAGAAAGATATGACAGTCTGCTTTTGTAAAGATTACAGCCTTAGAAACCCTATGGGGCAGTTCTACTCTGTGCTATAGGGTCGCTATGACTCAGAATTGGGTCGATGGCAATGAGTTTTGGCTTTTGGTAATGACAAGTAATGTTGTACATCTGTTTATATGTTTTTTGCCATCTGTATATCTTTTTTTAAATTTTTTTTATTGTACTTCAGGTGAAGGTTTACAGAACAAATATTTTCTCATCAAACAGTCAGTACACATACTGTTTGATGACATCGGTTAACAACCCCACGACATGTCAACATTCTCCCTTCTCGACCTTAGATGACTTTTTTTTTTTTTTGGTGAAAATATACATAGCTAAAGATACACCATTTCAAAAATTTCTACATGTACAGTTCAGTGACATTGATTACGTTCTTCCAGTTGTGCTGCTATTCTCACTATCCTTTTCCAAATTATTCCATTACCATCGTCTTCAACTCACTGTCCCCTAGGCTTCCCATCAGACCTTTTGCGTTGCTGTTGTCAATTTGATGTCACATAGATAATTCTTTTTTGTTGTTGTTGTTATGCTGTAGATGAAGGTTTATGGAACAAAATAGTTTCTCATTAAACAGTATACACATTTCCCTATGACAATGGTTAACCCCATGACATGTCAACTCTGTCCTTCCTCAACCTTGGGTTCCCTATCACCAGCTTTCCTGTCCCCTCCTGCCTTCTAGTCCTTGTCCCTGGACTGCTGTGCCTCATTAGTCCCATTTTGTTTTATGGGGCTGTGCAGTCCCTAGCTGAATGGTGAACCTCAGTGTAT